ATAAAACTTTAATAATAATCCACCGGTGCCTTGGCCAGGACACAATCCAGCGGCTGCCTGTGCAAAGAAACACGGCCGACAAATAAACGACGGAAGACACGGGTGTGTAAAAGTGGAGTATAAGTGAGCACTATAAGTGTCTTGACAAGTTCTTACAATTCCCCTTTGAAGAACTTCTCGCGAGTTTTCGTTCTTACGTCTTTGACTTCGTTCGCCTTTTCGCTTCGACTTAACAAAGAAAAGGATACTGGAAAACAATTGACAATGGGATCTTTTAGTTCTCTCAGGGAACTAAATATTACGGATATCTTTGGACGCACTTACGATTCCTCTTTGAAGTTTCCCATAAAGTTTACAAGCTTTCGTTTCTTCATTCGTATTTGCCGGCGTGTCTTTTTACCTCAAACATGTACTGTGAATTGATAAAGAGGAGTGGCTCTTTTAGTTCAAGGAACTAAATATTAGAAATATCTTCACTCCTCTTGCAAATTTCCCCTGATTTATAAGTTTCTACATTTGTTGCGTGTGTTTCTACCATACACTGTTGTATTGTTGTATCGTTGTACTGTAACTTAACCTGATAATTAGTAAAGAAGAGAACACAGATTCATTAGATCGGGGAATCCCCGAATATCACGAGAGATCTTGTCGATCTGACGAAGCACCACCAATATACATACATATGTATATATACGCGTCAAAGATTTTTCTTGACTGACGCGAATGCAATATTCGCAAATCGCGCACAGAGATATCCATCGGATCGGCACAAACGTATCTGTGATCCTGCCGTTTGTACCAATGCAACGAAGAAATACATTTCTGTACTTCCAACTGTTACGTTCGCCATGTGTTTAGACTAGGATTGCGGGATCGAATGTTTAGGCTTGCAAAGAGAATTCCACCGTAACGAGCGACCGAACCGTATATACAATAATTCGTCGTTTTCTTCTTCTTTTGAACTCGTCGGTATATCACCGGATAGAAATTATTAAAGTGTAATAAACTTATCATTTGTTTCGCCTGTGTTACGTTTAAATATAATAGAAACTGAGAGAATGTTGCAATTTGGGACAGAAAAAATTCTCGACGTACGTTCCAGCGTAAGAGGTTAAACCGAGCGAGCGCTTTTCGAACGCTTTCGCGATTTGAACAAGGATCAGGAAGCCGCATAGAGAGTAGAAGGAACGGGCGTGTTCGCTTGTGCAAATTTGCCTTCGACCTCGTTTCGGAGATGGCGGGGGCAGGTCCCGCGTGCTCTTCAACCGGCTCCTCCTCGAACCCTCGAGCCCGGCAATATTCGAGTAACGCGCCTCTACGCCCTGAGCTGAGATCGATCATTGGCCGATTCATCCACTTCGCAGCCCGGAAACCGGGTCGAATCGCCGGCTTATCGGCCAACCCGAATTACGCTGCAAACGCGATTAAACGAAAAGTCGAGAGGCCTCGCCGATATACATAGGCGCTGCTGGCTAAGCGAGCAGCCTCGTTTCCGCCCGATAGATCCCCCATCGCCGCCTCTCGTCCTCCCGAGAGTGATAGTTTCACTCGATCGATAAGAACGGGAGCTATCGGTTTCCAAAAACGGTGGCCGATCATTTTCGATCGAGATTTTTCGATCTTTCTAATCTTGTAAAATCGGTATCCAGTGTCCAGCAGTCTGCTGGTGTCTCTGACAGAAGATTCGCGTTTCAATTTTCGAGATATTTGTTCTCACGTCGAACGATACTGTTCGATCTGCAACGACAGACTCTTATTTTAGATGATCAACGTTCATTGCAATTTTCTGTTCGGAAGTCTTTATCTTTTAATCTGGTTTATTACTCACGATTTTGTTTGTCTTTCTGAAATGAAGTTTACCAAAGAACAACGACAGCTAATATGATACATATTTTTCTTCAGATGGGATAAACTACTAGATAAACGTTTTTTTTTATTGTAACGACCGTGTGAGAAATATTCTCGTCTTCCGTCACTTTGAAAATTTTCGTCATTGTCTCAGTGTGATGTACAATTCGTAATAATATTACTCTCGATCGAATAAACTTTCTTTTCCTCCACATTTTGCATTATATTAAATGTACAAGATTATACACGACACTTCCATCTGCGCGATTTTGTACAGAGAAATAAGAAAATTACTCAAGACCGGAAGTTCAACGCGTTGAGAAGTGCAAAAAAAAATGTCGTTCGACTTCCATCGAATTAACAATCGAGCTATGTATATCCGGGTGAAATTTAAGGTAAACCCGATTTCCGAAACCGTCCTGGTGTAATTGTTTGACTGGAACATACTAACAGAGCCACGGCGCAAGCCTTGGCTACCTTCGACCCGCTATTTTGATCTCTGAATAAACCGTAGCCAGAGATTTCATCTTCGAAATGAACGGCGGAGCTCGTAGTCAACGGCTGCTTTCAAAGCTGCTTTGTGCCGTTTCCCGAACATCCCCTGACGAGAAGCTTCGCTAATGTTGACTCACGGTCACCTACAAAGCCACTCGTGAACCGGATGTCCGCTGCAAGTGCTACTCTACCGATCTTCGCTACTCGACCGCGAAATGTTAACTCTGAAAATTCTCTTCGTCTAGGCGTTTGATATTAGCAGCTGCATCCAGTTTCATAGAATCGAACGATCTGTCTCTTTTTTTCTTCTTTTTTTTTCAATTTCCGCGACTTCTCAACCTCGTCCCTTGTGTCAATTTTTGAAATTTATGCTGCTAGAGTTGCTAATAACATTTGTTTCGAAGCATATTGTCTTCTAATATTTGCACTACAATATTGCATTTAATGCACCACCTTTCTCGAAGACGTGACACTTATTTGACAGTTTTGAACATAGTTAAGATCCAAAACAGATGAACAAATAAAACTAAAAGAGATAAGATCACGAGGTGAAATTAAATATCTATACGTGAGGGTAGAATCTGCGCGAATCTTATACGGATAAATCGAATAAAAATGTAGTCCATTTGCAAATTCCCCTATTTACCTTTTCATTAATAATAATTTTCCATTGTTGTGTCAATTTATCACCAAGTGACGAATTAAATCGTAAAAGTAAGACCAAAACTTAAACTGCCGTTTCCTCCATGTATCAAAAAGTCAATCTCGACACATGCTTCGCCCAGTCAAAAATCTCTCTCGAGCACTGAAGAATTTTACTGTTTCTCGTTGCACGTGCAACCTGTTCATTTCAAATGAATCAATATTTCTTCCCAAAAGTATCAAAAGCATTTCATTCTCCTTCAAGCAGTGACAACTCGTTCGCTCAGAATGAACAATTTTTAATCGTTCCAACGTGTTCTCAACCGGCGTTCTCTCCGCGGCTCTCTCAAGCACCTCGACTCTCGATGTTTCTCACGACGATAACAGGAAGCCTCGATGCGTCTTCGTGAACGAACGGGACAAAGCTTTCTAGGCTGGCTCGGGCGATAAAGCTTGATCAACGTCGAGGAGGAGGGGACGACTATCCCGATGGATTTAAGAGAGCGAGCCTCGCTAAATCCTGGTCGCAGCCGCGACGCTAAGCCTGCCAGCTATTCGGACGAACCTCGAACCCGAAGAGATCGATTCCGTGGACTGTGAATAACGCGCGGCTGACTTGCGTCGCGACGCACCACTACTGAATAATCCACGCTGCAGCGCATGCAAACGGAGAGCGGGGAACAGAGGCTAAACGACAGGCCTAAAGCTCGATGAAAGGTAAGAACGCTTTTGCACGTTGCGACGTCACGCATCTGTGACACTGTGCAAATTGCATGATCGCCATTTATAATTGTCACCAACGAGGCCCTCTTGCAACGTCGCTAATATTTTCTACCATTCTCTTTCGTGCAATAAATAGAAGATCTATTATGATATATAGGTGATAGCAAAGAATTTTCGTATTACTCTATTATTATTATCTTTTGATTTATTAAGATTGTGTTGTCGGCAAAGATTTCTCGTCCGAGAGTATTAGAATATTCTTCGTTTTTAATATTCGGTGTCTGTTAGTAATCAAACTTTTCAATCGACACATGCATACTTTGTAACATTTGTAATTGTTAGCAAATGAATGTTTCGAAGATTCTACGTAGAATAAAGTGTCATTTAATTTTCCTAGTTTCTGGACGGATCCACTAGGATTGAGCCAGTGACTGTACATACATATTCATTCTGTCTTTCGTGTTTGGCATTCGACTATTCCTTTGTTAATTAACTCTCTCGAAACGTATGTACGATGCATGTAGGATGCAGCAGCGTCACCAGTGCGAAATCGCAACAGCCAAAGAGTCGTTCGTTCTTCATCGAGCCTAAACACGCTGAACGCACTCAGTCAGAGAACGACGTTCTCTCACGCTCACGCCTTTCTCTCCCCTTTTTTCTCAACGGACGAAGAATATTTGAGGAACGAAAAATATATATCGTCGGAAATAGCCGATCGAAGGAACAAACACAGACGCGTTACATAGACGCGCGTCTACGTCAATCAAGCATCACGCGCGAAAAGAAAAAGAAATTTATTGTATCAGGCTATTTCCGGTGACTGGTCGATCGATTGTCAGCTGCAAATAACGTCATGGTTAAAACAAAGTCATTGACGAAGACGCGGACCGCCGGAAGTAGTCACGAACGTTCGAAACTCGAAACGAATGTTCACGTACGATACAGTTACAATTTAGAACAGTTATAAACTTAAATTCCTCGAATTTAGCAGATAGTTCAAGTTCCACGAAGTTCCACGTCACTGTTCCGGTAGACTTGCAAGTTATATATTGAACCTCTGGACGGACTACTTCCGGCTGGTCACGAGGCGGCAAAAAGACCGGTCGATTAAAAGATCGTGAATGCAGGCTCACCGTTCTTCCGGCCAGTCGGCCATTGTTCTTTCATCGAGTAGAAGAGGAGGACGGTGATGGTGTTTGTTAAAGGTGATATTATTACTCTTTTTGTTCTTTTTTTTTTTGTTTTGTTTTGTTTCTCTTTCTTTCTTTTTTTTCTTTTTTCTTTTTTTTTTCTGTTTTGTTCATAATAGCGGATATGGTGATCGTGATTGGTCTCGGTGATCGACTCAAGCGGTCTCCGATACCGGAAGCGGTGGCTGCCCACCGGAAGTAGTCATGGCAGGCGCGGTGTTGGTGGTGGTGGTGGTTGGGACCGGAAGTGGCTGTAGGGCCTGCATGTCACAGGTGTGGGAACCGCGCTTCTTTAGGTCCTGGAACAATTCGTATTTCGGATATGTTTCAATTTAGATTCTTCGTCCATCTATCGTTTTTTTTTTTTTTTTTTTTGTCTTCTTGCTTGCCCCCTCTTTCACTCTCACTCTCTCTCTATCTCTATCTCTCTTTCTTTCACTCTCGAGACTCTCGACAAATTTCTCTTTCAACATTCGTCATTTCCTTTCGTCTCTTTCGCACCTCGTCTTTCTCTCTTACATTCTTTCCAATTCGATCACTCGTACAAACACTCTTCCTTTCTCACTCTCATCCCCTCTCTTTCTCTCTTTCTCTCGCTCTCGTTCTCGTTCACTCTTTCTCGTTTCTACGTTTCTAGAGCAACTATGTAATCGAAACTATAATCGTAAATGCGTGATTACACTACTCTCTACGTTCTCTCCACTCTCTCTCTCTCTCTCCCCCATCCCTCCTCTCTTTCTCTCTTTTCAAATACGTTTATCCGTATTTTGCGTATTTCTCTCGGTCTCCTCGAGCACGCCTCGTGCCCCCTTTCGTTTCTCTCTTTAGTTCTCTCGGCGAAAAGGAAAAAGAAGAAGCGTTCTCGATCTCGAAAATCTCTGCGAGACCGAGCGAGCCGGCACCGGATGAGACGGAATGTGTGAGAGAGATGCGATCTCGCGTGGGGCGAAATGAATTTTTCGAACTGAATGAATTCCTTTTCTTGTTTTGCTTTTTTCTCTTTTCTTTTCTTTTTTTTTTTTTTTTACTCGTCGTCGTTACTTGAAAAAAGGATGGCAAAGAATCGAGAACGAATGGCGGAGAAACAGTTTCGCGGACGAGAGAAAATGAAAAAAAGAAAAGAGAGAGAGAGAGAGAGAGCGAGTGAGAGAGAGAAAACGTAGAAAAGTGGAAAAGATGAAGTTTCACGAGGCCACGAGGGCAGATTTCCGGTTTCGAGTATATCGGAGTATATCGCGGTGGCTAAAGATCGCGGACGAACGAGCGAAGAGAGATGTCGAGAGGAAGGAGGGGGGAGTGGGTTAGAATGAAAGAGGCACGCGGGCCACCGTGCAAAAGGCAATTCATAAAGAGAGAGAGAGAGAGAGAGAGAGAGAGAGAGAAACAGAAAATGTCCATGCGAAAAGAAGGTGTACAGTGACAGAGAGTAGACAAGTAGTATACGACCATAAGAGAGTGAGAGATCGAAAAAGCGGAACAATTTGGTGCTACCAACACAGAGATACAGAGATAGTTTTCAACAAGAGCAACAAGAATCATAGTACGTGTACAGGTGTGCGTTACAAAGTCGGAACAAAGGAAACATATGGTGATACACAACAACAGCAACAAGAACAAGAAAACGTCTATAAGGTAAAACTGGGGGAGGTGAACAAAAATGGAAAGTATGCGCGTGTGTACGTGTGTGCGTGGAAAGAATGTGCGCTGCGTGTGGAGATAAGAGATAAGAGAGAATGGAACGATCGATTCATATAGAAACATGCCAGGTGCAATAAGAACGATCCTTCTTCGACAAGCGATTAAATTGCAGTCACGTTTGCTGCGTGATCTCTCGTACGTTTCGAACACGCTTCGGTGTTCACTTCCAACAAGACGCGCTTTCTGTTCTCGCAACGAATCCTCCGCAAACTCGCGACTAGACTAGTTCTTTCGTGCCTTTCTCAAATTTTTTTTTCTTTTTCTTTTTTGTTTCTTTTTTTTTTTTTTTTGTCTTAGCTTTGGACAGTTACACACACGACGATTTGGAAGAACAATCGTTGACGCCGCGTCAGTCTCGATCTCAAACAGAAACGCATCCGCGATACAGTGCATTGCATACAGGTGCATTGAAACTTAGCACAGAGGATAGTGATACATACGTCGAAGCCTCGGTAGCCTGCTCGGTTATTATATTCTCGGGCGTGTGCGAAAATAATAAGCAAGAGTCTGTTCATCAGCGAAGCTTATCAAATTTTTTGGCTCGCTCTATCATTCGATCTCTTAGTGATCGAAGCGAACTTCTCGAGTCGAGTGTCCTCGATGCGTACGCACGCAAACGTAGCTTGTGTTTCGATTCGAGAAAAGAAGTCGGCCATCGTCAACGATGAATTCGTTCGTGGTCTCCTACCAGATCTGTGTCTTAACTATAACTGCTCCGAAAACTATTTTCGAGCATTTCGATGAAAAATTGTCGATACTTTTATTAACATCTTTACAGCATTAAAAATGAGTCTTCGAGGCCATAATCATGAAAATATTTCACTGTTCATACAGACGATTTCGCTAAATTCACACCGTTTTAAAATGATTTGCCCTTATAAAGATTGAGAACATCTTTCTCATAATTAAATCCATTGTGCCCCCTCTTTGCAACAATCTCGTAAAATTTCTAGATTTCAGAAGTTACAAGACTTCAAAGTACCAACAATTTTTCATCGAACATTTTCTGAGAACGTTCGATTAATTTAAAACACGCTCGAACCAGGAACCACAGAATCCATCATCATCATCAGCCTCCGACGATAGCGCTAACAGAGGTTAACAAATAATAATAAAGGGAAACTTCTTTCAAAGTGTTCAACGACCAATCTGGAAGACCCAGAGAAGCCTATCGCGATGGACAAGGTCCTCTCGCAACTGCTGTGTGATAAATAAAAAAAAAAAAATAAAGAAAGAAAGAAAGGCTAAAACGGGGACAGAAGCGGAAAAGAGACGAGTCGAGTGGACTTGTGGCCGCATGCAGAAAAACCGTCGCGTCGGCTTTCCCGGGGAAAATTCACCGACTGCATCCTTTCACCGCAATGCGGTTCGTTCTCCTTGTTGCGCTTTCGTGCTGGTCGACGCCGATCGTCCACATCTTCCTCGACGTCGTTCGACAAGCGTCGTTAATCCTTTTCAACCGGCCTGTCCGCGATGCTCGTTCTTCCTGTGTGAGCGCCGGCCTGCGACGCAGGCTTGCTGCAGCTTGAAGTTTAAAGACTCGTTCACGCGACGAGAATTCGACGTCAATTCATTGCCCCGCGCTGATATTCTTAACCTCTTAACCGGTTGATTTTGCGCCACTGAGCACGACCACATACTTCGTCACGCGACAGGTTTTAAAAATATATTCCGCGCAAGATATAGACATACAAATAGCGTTGTTTATAGAATGTTCAACTATTTGTAGTTTATAAAATGGCATAATTTTTCAGTGCGAAGAGCTTTTTTTTCTATGCAGCATGTTATTCTTTCATTGCTAAACTCTTGTACGTATACAATAATGAGGGTGAAAGAATCTATTCTTCACTTGATTCGATTAAGTAGTATTAAAAATAATCTAGCCATCAAAGATAGCTAGAAGACCGTTTCATTATAATTATCTAAATTCTTCAAATAGTTTGTACAAATTTTTAATAATCTGTACACGATGCTGCGTGATAATTCAAGTATCCTTCACTCCTTTCAAATTCTTTTCAATTTTCGCCAAATAACTTCCAATGTCTTGTACTTGGCACGATCCTCAATCAGATATTAATCTTTCACTCGATCTTCTCCTCACATGAATTCGTCGTGAATCTATAACATTTATCTAAATATACTTAAACGTACAGTACAAGTACTATTAACCTTACGCCTCGAGATATTGCTGACTGCAAAAGCGTAACAAAATTAAGGGACAAATCACGCGAGAGAATTGTATTTATGTCGTAACAATCGTTTCATTCAGAGTGAGCATGTGTACGATAATTTATAGACGGAACTATACGTATTGAATAGCAATGATGATAGTAATGATGATTATGTGATTCAACCCATCAGACAATAAACCGTACGTACACAATGGGCGTGATGACATAATCCGTCATCGCGAGATACAGCACGAGCGTGACGATATATTACGTCGTGGTGATAGAAATAATTAACCATTCTCGAAACGTAGCCATTCCAAACGTGGCCAAGAAAATATTCCCCGGTTAAGAGGTTAAATTACGTTTCAGACACTGATCAAACGGACACTGTGAAGGTAAATCCGGGGAATTATGTCGCGGTGTCAAACGGTAGATAGGTCACGCTAACGATAGTTGGAAATTTCCTATTTAATATCACGTGATACAACTGAGAGGCCTTTGCGCTATAGCGTGCAAAGTATCACGTAATGATACCCGGTTACCCGGGTCAATGACATTTGAATTACCGATCTAACTTAACAGAGAATTTAATAGACTCTCTTGTATTCAAGTACCGTGGACAGTGTCACTGATTGTTAATCCACCTGCAATCGAATCGTTTGAGCGCGGAAACGGAATAATTAAGATAAATAATTATATACGATACATAAAACTGAAGTGAAATATTCATAAATATGTTTCTTCCTTCGATTATTATGCACTGGATTGGCTTGAAAAATTGAATGTAAAGAAAGATTAACTCTAGAATCCTGAGATCTTAGATCAACCCTAAGTTGTTCGACCATAATGAGTTACTGCCTCAAATCTATTTTAACAAATTTCTTTCTTTCTTTAACCTTCTAGCCTACATCAGTAATCAGAAAATTCGTTCGATGAACAAAATAGAAATATTGTCAATTTAAAATATTGCGTTGATTAATATTATATTATGACAGAGCCGACCAAGTTGTGAAAATCAGTTTGAATCGCGAAAATCTAGTGCACGGCAGAATGTGGAGACAGAATGAGATAATGACAAGAGGTCTTGTCGATGCCAAGACGAACAGGAATTCCTCGCGTGAACGAGCTTTAACAAAGAGTCACGTTGCTTCCTTTCGTCTGTGACGCACGAGATGCGCGTGTTATTCTCTTTCGGTGGCGCGTGCACGCGTTATTTCGACCGCCGAGTTTGTCGCGATTGATCGCGCCGCTGTTGCAAGCGAGTTCGCAGTCTCGCAGTCTCGCGACGAAAAGAACACGACCTGGCAGACGCGTTGCTTTCTTCGTAACGCCAACTTTCTACGATTAAACGATTCAATTAACGCGTTATTGCCGTAATAAGGATAAATGGTGATAATATTTTAAGAGAATGACAAAAAATAATTCAACTT